TATTACCCTTTTATTATAGATTATAAGCAAAATACTGCTGAGCCAACTCTTATTTCCAAGACTCCTACTATAAACATGTTAGTATCAATGATAAGCAATGCTTTAGCAACATGCCAATTCAGTTTAGTTTTTGATATTTGGTTAAGGAGAGCCTTGTTTAGGCAAGAAACTCAGTGCTAGATTGTTTCTCAGAAGACAGATAAGATTCATCATAGACACATAATTGCTTATAACTGAATGAAAAGTGAAAATTGCTTTCTACTCCCCTGTAGCAAGGCTTCGATTCCTAAAATCTGACATGATTTTTAGACCCAGCTGTGTAAGACCAGCGAAGTTATTCTTGGAAGGTGATCCTGCTTCCAAGTATTGAATTCATGTTAGCCCTTAAAACCTCAAAACCATCTTGAGCAATTAACTATCTTGGTTTCATTAATCATATTTCATAGCTTAAAGCACTCAAATATTTCTCCTTTAATGAATCAAAAACCCTATAATTTACAATGTTCAGACACTATATAAAAGAATTCCCATAAAAATTACATTAGGATCTTTTTCATCAGTGAGGCAACGGCTGTAGTTCCCTCTGACTTGTACAGCATCTGCCTGAATGCATGTCCTTCTTTGTGATGATCTAAATGTAGGGAAGTACAAATCACAGCAAAAATTAAAGTTTTCATCTTTAATGAAATGACTTTGGAAATAATGTCTATTTCCATGACACCAATACTATAGTGCTCGGAGTCACAGTAAGGTACACAGAATTACATCCGTAATTAATATGAATGCCAACATTTCAAGCAGTAATATCTGTTACATGGCAAACAAAATCAAGAAAGCAACCATCAAACAAAAAAGACCCATAGCTTCAGATAAGGCAAATCCCAGGATAGCATATGAGAACAGCTGCTGCTTCAGCGAAGGGTTTCTAAAAAAGACACACAACACATTATTACTTTGAAATATCATTTGAATTTCAATGTTTCGTAAATGTTAAATAATCAGATTACTAGTGTGGTGATCTTTGTAAACTGGAAATACTGGGAGAGTATTTGTCTAGATCTCTTTTGCTTTGCCTTTGACATTCCTTCCACCTCAATCCTAATCATATGAAGAAAAGGGGGAGAGCTGACTCTGTATGTCAATATAAATGGTTAGTCTTCATCTATTTTGGGTGAAGACCAACCACTCTTCTTATGCCTATGAAACTATGTTCTATACCTTTTAAGATCTGATAGTTTACAAATAAGGTCTTACATAATAAAATGGAAATTGACTCTTAAAGAATGTGCTGTTAATTATATTCCCAATATAGCTTAACAATTAAGAGTGTAGACTGTGAAGTCAAACTGAGTTAAAATTTATTTTGACACTTACTAGCTATGACAAATGGGGAGTTAAGTGACATAATGTGTGCAAAGCCCTTAAAATATAATGCAAGACATAGAGTGGGCACTTTATACAAATTAGCTATTATTATTTCACTAGTTTCCAACCATTTCAAGCATGCTCTTATTTGGCCATTGAAATTACCTGGCATAACCAATGATAAGGCTGCCAAAGACTGTTCCAATACCAGCACCAGAGCCAGCCACTCCTACTGTTGCAGCACCTGCACCAATAAATTTGGCAGCAGTATCAATGTCTCTGCTGATTGCACTGGTCTGAAACTCCCTTTGGATTAGCTGAGGCACACCATTCTGGGCCCCATTAAATACTGTAGAGCCCTAGAGAACAAGAAATAAAGGCAAAGGTCAAATCAGTCACCACAGTTAGCTATTTCAATTACCATGCTGTCAAAATGATAACTACTTCTCTCTTTTGTAGCCAAGTTTGAATAGGAGGTGATGTGGCACAATCAAGGGCTTAAAATAAATCCAATCTGGCACAATAACACTATCTATACCCTAGAGAGTTGAAAATTAAAAAACAAAGTATGTGCATATGCTTTTTAGTAGAGTAGGCTTTTCAATAACTGCAGCTACTATAATCTTAAATATAGACAACTCAAGCCTATACACTTAAATATACATACTGACTATATTCACCAAATCAGGTGAATAAGTTTTGGATACAGAAGTTTATTTTATTGGCTTATCTTCTGCACATTTTATTATCAGATAGAAAGGATTGCCTTCCAGCCATTCATTAATGAGGTTGTTTCCCCACCCCCTTCACTTTAGTCAAAACCATAACACTTACTTAGGAGTGTCACTTAATTTCTGTTATTACTACTATTACCTCTCCAGTCCTAGCCTCTGGTCGAGAGAACACTGATGCAGAAATTGGTCTGTATACAACTCTGGATCCAGCTCGGATCTGTTAATGAAAGAAAATTCCACATAGTAAGTAAGGATACAGGTAAGATTTCAATGACCTTTCCTGCACCATGAGTTCTAAGAAAGCAAGAAGAAAAATGAGTCCAAGTTCATGACTTCTGTACTGACACTTATCTTGGCTTGTTTGGTCATTTTCAATAGATGAAGCAATTTTAATAGTTTTAAAGTTGCTAACGAAATTTTAAAGCTTGCTTCATAAGCTATTTGTAATATACTGAACAAAACTAAGAACAATTAGTTTAAAAAATATGTATGGCTTTTAAAATTTTTAATTACTGTGGTGTCACAATTCAGATCAGAAAAACGACAATAAACACCACACACTCTTTTAAGTTTAAGTGGACCAACAAATGTGCCTATTAGGAGTGTCACTCTAAAAGCTTCTTATTTAAAACGGCACATCCGTTAATATGAGCGCCCACCGTCTCCAAGATATTCCAATATGTCAGTTAATCATAAAATCAAAAAGCAGTGTAAGCAATTCCATATCAGAGTCAGCCTAATCGGTGCAATACTCTGACCATAAGGACATATTCCAGCCCAGCTGCTCCGCCTGCCCTTGAGCGTCCACTAAACTAAGGTCACAGAAAACCCCTTCGGCACCAAGATCCGACTCCGTCGGACAAACCCCCCGGGTCTTCACTTCTCCGAACGCCTCCAAAATGGTGATGGAAATGGCATTCTCGAGGCAGGAAGAAAGAGGTTCGGCGGCTCCGCCACCTTCCTCCACCCACGCGGGGCGAGGCGCAGTCCCTCCCTCTGCAGCAGCGCGTTTGACCTACAGGCAGGCCCTGGAGATCGCGGCGGGCGCCCTAGGCCTCGGCGGCCGCTCTGCCCTCCCGGCTTCCCCGCCTCCGCGCCCACCCGACCCCCAGCGCGACCGAGGGGTGGGCAGGGGAGGGGCGCTGCGGGCGTGGGCGGCTTGACCTACACCGCGGGGCGCCTGACAGCTAGGCCTCGGCTGCCCTCCATGGCTCTCGGGAGGAGAGCGAGGCGCGCCAGGATGAGAAGGAAAGAGGAAAAGCGACAGGGTTGGGAGGGGGGCAGAGCTGTCCCGAGGGGGCGGTGCGCGCCGCCGGGACGTGGCCCATTCCACAACGTGGACGCTCCGGGCCAGCAGGTCGGCCCCGAGCCCACGGCCCCGCGGGGCTACGCACCAGAGCCGGGCTGCAGGCGAGCTTGGCGCAGGCGAACATCTTACACTCCCGGGGCGGCGCGGCTG